ATTCAGACGCCAGGGAGTCTATACTCATGAACATCTTCTAGTCTAGTTGTCAATGAGTTTATGGACTAATGCCATATTTCGGTTTGGCTACCCCTAGCATCCTTCTAGACCGCTTCTACACCGGACAACATCGCTCATCGATGTAGACCGTAGCCAGGCATACATAAAGCATGTTCCAACCACCTTAGGTGATCAAGATTTACTACTTCATCAGTCCATTTACCACCTTTACCTGGTACTTTATTCCCAACCTAGCCATTGCTCACTCGGTGGTCCCATAATACACGGGCAACACATCGAAGACAACTATGATCAAATAATTGTAACCTGCGAATGTCCTTTATTCTTAATAGTCGGGTTTCACACCCAGAAAGTAGAGTGGAGCAAACTGTCGTTCAACAAAATCGTCTTTCGGTTAGCAGACGTGTGTCTCACCTATGACACAAGGGACGCAAGCTTGCAAAAACCAATCAAGTCTTCTGAATCCCTGTCAAGATTTCGTCAGACACCAGACCATCAGTACTGATGAGACTTTCAAGACAAATGAAGTGGTCGAGTTGTTCAACTACTTCGCTCTCTATCAATAATCTACGAACTGACACAAGCCGGTCCTAAAGCATTATTTAGCATTTAGAGGGAGGGAATCGTATCCCAAACATAGTTTAAAATGTTAACAGCTCGATTTCAGCTCATTTAGTACAAACGGGTCATACAGTCAACATGTAGCGATCTGCCTACATCTGTCAAACCGAGAATCTTTTAGACTTCTGAAGCAATTGCTATTCGAATAAAAAAACCAGAGTTTGACATCCAGAAGAAAAATGTTCAACTTCTCCTTTTATAAATTTCATGCAATTGGTTCCCTTTATGAATTTAAATAAAGCAAGAACAAATATTGATGCAGTGTAGTATGAATTCATAATATTTCGAGGTTTCTCGTCAGCTGCTTACAACCAAAAATGTATTTTGACAAATGTTCATTTTTATGGCTTGAACTTATCTTACTCATACATTATTGTTATTATTATAAAACCTGCCAACTTTTTTGGAAAAGTTATTCAGCATACGGACCTATCTACTAATTCGTACCCATTTCGTATCATTCTACATATTACGTAATTTCCAATTCGTAATTACATTCTTCTCTCTGTCATCACATGTTGACCATATTTATTCTGATCATTTTATCTCACAATTTCATTTAACGTATAAACCTACTCAAGTTAACACAATATACTACGGTGTGTGCTACTTATGTCGACAGATATAAGTAGTATGTAACACCAATCGAAAGTGGAAAACTTGGAAGCAGAAAGCTGGGAAGATTGAATAAAAGAGAACGGGAACAGCGAGTAGTTGTTATGGAAATGAAGGAAAAATAAAGTCTGAAACAATTAATGGATTAAATGTATGGTTTTTATATTTTACCAAATAACTCGGTAATACACTTGGTCATCCCCACTTGTATTTTTGTTCGTTACTATATTAGTCACCTCAACGTGGAGGATTTTAGTTTATATTACAAACAATCCTTAATTCACTCGCTATAATATTATAAATGATGAACTTTGCCTTAAACCTGGCTAATTTTATAGATTGTTAGTTAGGATATATAATTGTAGAACCTGGTGAGAAATTCATATATTAGTGTTTTAATAAGAAATTCTTTAATGAAAGTTGTATATTTGAATATTTGATTAATTTTAAGTTGGTTTTAGATACCTTCGTTTTAAATTACATGATTTCAGAATGTAAATCTGATCGTTTGATCCATTTCAATATCTCCAATTTGTTATGAACAAAAGTATTCTTTTGGCGTATTTCATTTATGTTTAGGTGTGATAGGCTCTGAATAAAGACTAGATATATCACATAAGTGAATCTGGATCAACATAAAATTTATGATTCCATCATATAATCTTGTCGTAACCAGTTAAATTAGTACAGATGTATTTATTATTTCTCTTTCTATCTATCTTGAATTGCACTATTCTTTCATGAATATCTTTCCATTCTGTCCTTTCAAGCTATATTCCCAATGTTCAGTTATTTTTGTTTATCATTGTTATTACATAATTTCAATTTGTGTTCTTTTCATCTTTTTTTAAATTCATCTCATCATATTATCATAATCTAAGAACGCATAAATGCCCACATATATGCCCCAAATTGTACTTCGATCATGACTAGCTGATCAAATCTAAATTATTAGTATAGGATTGTGAAGATTATTAAGTTATTGATTGAGATCATGAGTTGAATGATGTTAGACCACCATTGAAAATCTGGAAGCATTGAACGGCCGTTTCTTCCTATTATGCGACTCTTTGTCAGTGCGCATCCACGATCCCACTTGTGCGATTCGAACTCAGGGCCTTCAGTCTCGCGCGCGAACACTTAACCTACTAAATCACTGAGTCAACATCCAACGGTATTAATATCTAACCTCAACCAATCCACAGATTGGTTGGTGGTCTAACACCAATAGGTTCACGCCCTCAATCAATAACAAATCTAAATTATCTAATCATTTACCTCTTTTTTTATCGATTTCTTTTAATCAAATTAAACAGTAATCGAAGTATTACAATCCCTATAGTTTGTAATAATCATCTTAATAATATACATGTATATATAACGCTTTAAGAAGTGTTCATTGATCAATGATATCAAAGATTACTTTATATGAACTCATTAATTTATAAGTTACAATAAACAAATATCATTTATTATTCCAAAAATAAGAAAACCAACAAACATTCTATGATAATAAAAAGTAATTTAACTTCTTTACATCGAGAAAAAGAAAAAGAAAATAAAAACATGATATGTTTTATTTATTATTTGTTTAAATCAACTTGACCTTAGATGACCTTGAATTCATCAAAATATATCTTGTTTATTTTATTTGTCATCTATCTTATTTCATACTAAAATATTATCTGATGCCTTTCTTTTTGTTTTCTTTTATATAAAGTAAAAGAAGTTAGAAGCATTTCATATATATTGTCTATATAAATATAAGTAAATAATAATAGATACTCTATTGATTTGAGTTTACATCTCTATAAGTAGACAGTTCGTGAATGAATTAATTACTCCTGTTACTCTTAATGGAACATAGGCCGTCGACTAGCATTCTCCAACTCACTCTGTCTTGGGCCTTTTTTTTCTAGTTCTATCCAGTTTTTGTTCATTCTTTACATATTTGTCTCCGTTTCTCGGTGTAATGTGTTTTTTGGTCTTCCTCTCCTCCTTAAGGATTCCATGTGAGGGCTTGCCTTCTCATGTAATTGGGTGATTTCCTCAATATGTATACTATGTACTTCTAGCGCTTCTTCCTGATCTCTTCACCCGCCGGGATCTAGTTTGTTCTCTCCCATAGTAGGTTGTTGTTGATAGTGTCTGGCCAACGGATACGAGATATTTTGCGTAGGCGATTGTTAATAAACACTTGTATCTTCTAGATGATGGCTTTCGTAGTTCTCCAAGTCTCCGCCTCATACAGTAGAACTGTCTTGACATTTGTATTGAAAATTCTGACTTTGGTGTTAGGTGACAGACAGTTGTTTTGAGTTTCAGATGTTCTTCAGTTGTAAATATGCTGCTCTTGCTTTGTCGATCCTCGCATTCACGTCTGCATCAGATCCACCATGTTCATCAATGTTGCTGCTCAGATATGTAAAGGTTTCAACATCTTCCAAATCTTTTTCGTCAAGTGTGATTCGATTGTTGCATGCTTTGTTTTATCGGAGAATCTTGCTTTTCCCTTCGTGTATGTTTCGTTAATTAATTACCAAAACAAAAACTAAACACTATTTAGAATAGGTTTGCTATTGTCAATAATGAAATCCAAGACACTGGTTTTTACCTTACTTGAGACTCGTTAGTTGGATGGTTTAGTGGACCGGGATCTGACTCCAAGTAGATAGTATGAATGGTTGTTATTGAAATATATATGTCGCCTATGCTCGTATATATATATATATATATATAATCATCGACTTAAATCGCTTTAGTCAGTAACGGAATTAAATAAGTCAAATAACGAGAATGGACTTTTGAATACATATATTTTGCATATGAAGCGAATGGAATAGAGCGAATCGAAACGACATGCAGTGGAGATGGAGGGTAAGTCCATTCTCGTTATTCGACTTATTTAATTCTGTTATTGACTAAAGCGATTCAAGTCGGTCATTATATACGAGCATAGAAGACATATATATTTCAACAACAATCATTCATACTATCTACTTGGAGTCAGATCCCGGGCCAATAAAGTGGAGAGCCCGTACACAAACATCGTCCGATCTAAATGACGACAAAATAAAGGGTTCCACTGAGATGTACCTACCTTAACTTTTAGACCACTGAGTCGGCATTCACCAGTGCTAATGTCTAACTTGTAGACGACGATGAATTTTTTTTATAAAACTATTTACCCGAACCACTTCTGTTACTATTCAGCAACAAAAAAATATTCAGCAATAATGACTTCTTCCTAATATATTCACTAAAAAAATAAATATCACGAAATCATTTTCAGTGATAGCAACTACTACTGTAACTGCTTAAACGTCTGATGGCCATCTACGTTTCAACTGTACAACTATTGTAATTAAACTACCTATTTTAAATTTGTTTGATCTGCATAATAATGAATACTAGCTGTATGTACCGATGCGCTACTACAAAAGGACTACAGAATGTTACGATAATAAATACTGGAAAACTCAAACAGGATCACTATAGTTCTCAATATATTTTTCTCTTTATCTATCTTATTATAAGAATAGACAAATAGGTTATAATTAAACCATATTACATATGATGGATAAAAAAAACGTATTTATAGCAACTGAACTGAATAAGTGTGATCATTTTGTACACTAAATCCATATTCACAATGCGCTTAAACCTATTCTAAGGAAGTGTAATTAAAGAGATAAACAATACATGTTTAACAAATTTCTCTAAAATGCCTTTTATTTTTCTAGTTCACGATTTGGAGCTGTTCAATCAATACAATCTAATGAAGATGGAAATAGTTCTTCACACTTAGGTAAGTATTTCAATTTTATTAATTTTCATTTTTGATTAGACAATACTCTTATGTTATATTCACCATAGACTGATCACAGTTAGGATAGTGTTAGAAATTAGAAAGTGGTAGACAGTTATTTCATCCCAGTATGGAACTCCTTAGTAGTATGCTCCCATAAGTCCACTAGCGGTCGAACTCAGAACTTCGTAGAGAATGCCTAACCATTAAAAAGATTGTGTCAATGTTGAATGATATGATCTCAATTTCAATCAATTCACAATATAGCGCAACAACCCGTTGAATCAATCTATATCAAATCAAATGATTAAATGAGAACTAGGGTTTATAAATTTGGCTTGATAAATGTGGTTTTCCAATAGTCAATACTACTTACTACTTTTATCAACTCTACCACTCATTGATATATATATTCTATAAAACTCTAAAACGTTTTCATACACAGTTTCCGATCATTATTTGAACGAAATTGAAATTCCATAAATACTCGTAAATGTCATGATCGTCTATAGAATTAAAATCAATGTTTAGACATTTATAGAGATAAAATTGTTATTTCCTAGATTGAAGGAAATATACTGGTTAAGTTTTAGTGACACAATGGTTATTTCATTACTAGTTTTTAAAGCATATCACGGTAAAATTGTTCAGTACTGGTTACCTTTTTGAACACAGAATTATAATTCAGATGATTTCGACAAATAATTTGTTACATAAAGGCTCATAATGTCTAGGAGCTTTGGCTGAGATTTAGGGGTTCACGTTTAATGTTAGAAGTTGAGTTACTATCGGGATTTGGGGATAGGAGTAGGTTAGGATTAGTTATTAAGATTTGGATTAAGATTAAGTATAACGATCTATTTATTTTATTTATTTAAATACATAAACATTGGTACAAGGAAGCATGAAATATAAATGAGACATAAATCATTCGATTTGTGTGGGGGCTGAGATGCTGCCCGGATGCCTAGAAGGTGGTCTTCTTAGGAGAACACACCCCTGAGCCTTTGAACTTAAGGTCTAATCCACAAGGAAGTGAAGAAACGTAAAGAGATGCAGTCCCATGATAGCCGGTGACCAACAATAGGTTCATATGCCGTTTGCTTCCTTAGGATCCTGGAGCCCATGTGCACCAATGGTTGGGAGTCAAGGTTTCCCAACTCCTCTACGTAAACCCTCCGTATCCATCAACACAGTCAAAGCGCCGGACACTCGCTTTTCGTCCTCTCAAGTTCATAAGCAATACCCTCGCCACGAAAAGGCAGTGAGTTGGACTTACCTGGAAGTGGTTGTATTCACGTGGCCATTTGAGAGCATGACGAGAAGGAGAGCTGACTATTTCTATTCTTGGTCGTACCAGGTCATTTGGGGGCTATATAACGACTTAGGGTTAGCAGTTTAAGTTAGACTTAGAAATCACAGTTACCGTTAGGATATGGCGTTAGAGGCTAAAAATAATCATTAAGAATCGAGTAGATCAACTTTCTTGTAGCTTAATGTAAGTGAATGTTTACAAAGTTCTTTCATTATTTCAAACACCTTTGAGTTATCCTTACAAATTTATGAATCACGATCTCTATTACTTTATCTTCGCATGTTTATCAATGTTAAGCATATTAGGAAATAAATATTTGTAATAATTACTTAAGTTTTTCTGCGATATACGTTATCCATCATTCCAGAAATACAAAATTTGTTACCTTAAATCCGATTGATTAGTTAATATAGTATACTTTTATCTATGTCAATGAGCTTTAACAAAAACATAGTTATTTCAGTTTTTTTCATTATATATTAAAAATGAATATGTTTTCATTCTTCTAATATTAAGATCAACTACTGAATAAGAAATAAAAGTAGTTAGTAACCGACTAATTTTGTCAAAAATTAAATTGTTTTCATTTTGTTTAATTATACTTTAAATATTAATTACAATTCAATCCTTTCTGTTTAGTTGTTTATGAACATATTACCTTAGTTCATTTAATGTATATAAACGATTAGTTTTGCTTACATTTTTGTAGACAAAGAACAACTTGATATTTGTCTCATTTTCTTTCGTATTTTCTTTTTTGTTCTCTGTTTTCTTTTTTTTTTAAAAAAAACAAGGTTACAGTGGTAGTTGTAGTGGTGGACAAAATAAGATAACAGCTAGTGAAACATTGGAAGAACTTGAATGGTGTTTAGAAAGATTAGAAAATATACAAACTCATCGATCTGTTAGCGATATGGCATCGAGTAAAGTAAGTTAATTCTATCTTGCTGTTTCATTAATTTGCTTATAAGTTGAATGAGTATTTTGTTTCTTTTTTTGGAAAATATTTTATGTTAAAATGGGGAAAAAGGAGTTTTATGGTTCACAATCCCTCATAAAACACTAAATTACCCAAATACATAAGAGTAGGCATTAGTGTTATATTCTAGTGAAGACTAAATTACGGGTAACTTCTGAGAACTATTAGTGGACTAATATTATATATATATATATATATATATATATATATATATATATATATATATATATATATATATATATACATTCCTATTGTATAACTGTTCAGTAACTAGATGATGTATATTTATATTCGTCTTATTATAAGCTTCATTTCGACCTAATATTCTTACTTTGTTCCTTTGTACTATTTAAACTTGGGTTAATTTTGATTTGGTTATTTATTCTCTGAAGAAATGGATTACATTGAGTCACGAAACGTCAGAAAATCTAATTTGTCTATTCATGGGAATACTACAAATATATCATTATTTTTATCCACATTACAAAATAGTTGATAAGCATGGTTAAGTAGAGAACAGAAGTGAACTCGATTGTATATATAAAATAGTCCCTTAATATTTCATGTCTATCTGTGTTTGTTCGTTGACCAATAACTATTTCCTTTGATTTGACACATCACTTTATCTTTGTGTGTTTTAACATTTGTTTATGTTTCTATTTAACACTTCTATGTAACTCTTATCACACATAAATGATGTTAATTCAACTTGGCGAAGCGGATCTTCATCACACAAAGTTATAGGATACTAAGCAGAAAGATGCACATTTTAGTGATATTATATGCTGAACTATAAAAAAGCTTGCCTATAGATTCTGATGGATCAACTAAATCGTTGGATAAACATTCTCAATATATTTGCTTTTTCAAAAATATATTCATAAGATATACATTTTAATAGAATTATTTTCCTTCTAACCTAAAATAGTAGTTAGCATCAGTAGGGGTTTTGTGGAGATTGTACTAGTTTCAATAGTTGCGATCATGACTCAATTAAAGCTAGACCACTATGGAAAACTTAAAAGCACTGGATGGTGGTTTCGTTCTATTGTGAGGCTCCTCACCAATATGCATCCACAATCCCGCCCCACGGGACTCGAACTCACTGATGACAAGGGTGGATGTGTCGCTCAATCTCGTGGATTAGTTGAAATTAGACATTAACACTGTTGGATGACGGCCGGTTCAGTGGTCTAGTGATTAAGCGCTCGCGCGTAAGGCTAATGGGTCCTGGGTTCGAATCCCACGGGGCGGGGTCGTGGATATGCGCCGCCACGGAGGAGTCCCACAATAGAACAAAACAGCCGTTCAGTTCTTCCACGTTTTCCATGGTGGTCTAGCTTTGACTGACTCATGATCTCAACTATTAAAATAGTAATTGTCAAGATACATATTTTTGTTATACATGCCGTTATTTTTTTAAAACCTTTTTAAAATTGAAGAGGAAGAATGTATTTATAAAATCTCAGCGAAGTAATTTGGAGTAAATCCAACGTTTCGCCTGGTAATCTGGTTCAAGTTTTTTCAAAGAGTCTAGAGTTTTATGTCAAACATAAAAATATGATTAAGAATTTGACATATTGCTAATGACTTATGTAAATAATTTATCTGTATTACGTAAACCTTTCATTAATTACAAGAAAAGATTTGATTGAGATCATGAACCGATTGATGTTAGACCATCACAATTGAAAACTTGGAAGCACTGGACGGCCGTTTCGTCCTACTGCGGGACTCCTCAGCAGCGCGCATCCACGATCCCGCTCGCGGGATTCGAACCCAGGGCCTTCGGTCTCGCGCGCGAACGTTTAACCAACTGGACCACTGAGCCGGCATCCAATGGCGATTGTGAAGAAAGTAGTTTTAAGTGCTGTTAGAATTATGAAGACTGTTATCGCTTATGTTAGGGTTCTAAAAAAATTAATAAAAACTTCCCTAACTGACTTAGTATTTGGTACTGGAAAACCATGAATCGAACGACACAAATTAGAACATAATGACAATAAAGATTTATTTGACTTACAAATGAAATCAAAATGGTACGTTAATATACTGCTTCTTATTTGATTTATTTGTAGTTAGATTAACACTAAGATTTGTATTTAATATCAATTGCTTCGGTTTGGGCACCCGGACAGTATTCCATCCCTCACATAATTCGAATGGCGAAGTGTGGCGTATCTAAAGTTGGTGCGTCGCTGTACCAATATTTATGTGTTTATATAGATAAAAATAATAAAATCAATAACTTTGTTTGTAAGTACATTTATAATATCACACAATTAAGTGTCTGTAGCCGACAGATCATTTGAAGAGATAGCTACTTAGTTGAAGTTTCGTTGTAAATATCAACACTAGGATTGAACCATATTCATCTGATGAGCCTCTAATAGAGCAAAACAAGCATCTTGAATTTCACTCTTAACCACAGTCTATCTCTTCTATATTCTATTTGGTTTAAAATCTCTTCCTTTAACTTCTTATTCATACTTCATATAAATTAGCACCATAGTTGTTGTGCATGGATAGTTTTTATATGTTACTAACACAAAATTCCTTTCTTTATGTACGTTTCCGCTTTTTTTAAAAAAATAGGTTTACCTTTATTTTAATCTAAGTTTCAAATCAAACTGTTATTGTTTTTATTGAAACCTTGTTCTAGATACATTTTTCTTCTATCATTTTTACATTTACAAATACAGTAATTTCTAAAAGTAATTTAGTAAAAACACACACACACAGGCACACAACACACTTGAAAAATGATGTCAACTTATAAAGCAAAAATAGTCGAACTGTTGAGATTGAAGTAAAGATATAAGAGATAGATAAGATTTTATTGAAAACAAAACAGACTATTTTAAGCATATGATAAATGATCTTGATGATTTGATCTAGTTTTAATGATAGAAATTGTTTGAAATTTACTGATATATTTTACTGTAGAAATGAAAAGTACATGTGAAATGGTTAGAAATGAGCGATTGATAGGAAGTTCTAAATTGTTGTTGACAGTCATCATCAAGATGTAAATATAGTCTTGAAGGTACACGATTGTATCTCGTGAATTCCAAACATCCTATCACCCATAATCACCGTGAACGACATTATCACTGAGCTTTACAAGCTGACTGAATTTTAACTTATCACTGATGTTGTTAGTTTCACTAGATTTGCTAGCCTAAACGACCCTACGTACATTGTGTTTCGACATTAGACGATAGTACACAATCAGAAACAATCTGTCGATTTAAGTTTCGTAAACGGCTGCCATTACTTCCTCTACTCATAAACTAAGATCAATTAACTATAAGGCTTTTATAGTATGGGTTGCGTAGACTGTTGAATTTCATTGATATCCATACTAGGACGAGATAACCATCCAGTGATTCTACGTTTTCGATGGTGATCTAACTTAGATCGATTCATGCTTTCAATGAAATTTAACAATCTCCATAACCCTTCACTTAAAGTTATCATATGCTTTTCTCCCGTAAAAATATGTTTTCTTTTTAGTTCTTCCTTACTTTCTTACTTTAAAATAATCTTGTTTAGATGTTTACTGATTGTCATTATTCTTACTATTGCATCATTTCGACTTTTTGGCATGCTGTTTTACTATGACTACTTGGTCAGTACAGCTTTTTATATTTTTAACTTTAATAAGAGTTATAATTGTAAACAGGTTAGTATGTTTGCTATAAATCAACAAGATGTTGTGAATTTTAGTAGCTAGGTCTTTTAATGTTTAGAGTTTTTCAGCTATTATATTGTTGATGTCAAGTGGTTGGAGGTTGTCAACAGAAAGTTTTGCTACACCCCTAGGTTTCATGTTATTTGGAATGTGTCAGTAAGGTGTACATACAACAATAAATGGATTTATGATAAGAAGTAGAAGTCGAGACGTATGTTTCGTCCTATTTGTGACTCATTAGTTCAATGTACTTGATAGAAGAATTCAAACCCTTAATAATAATGATATTTTATCGAATAATTGTCTGATAACATAAAACCTATCAACGTATTCACCTTATCATCCAGTAATTTTCAAATACAATCTAGTTGTTACTAAATGTTTTCTTCATATATCATTTATGATAATAGTAGAGTATACGGACTAAGGGAAAACGATCTCGAAGGATTCTTAACCAATCGGAAAAGTAGCTTCTGTAAATGGATAGTTTATGGGAAAAAAAAATGCTACTACAAAGTATAGATACATTTTACACATTTATTGAACCTATTAAAGTTTTTCTACGGGTAACTTTATCTGTAAATCGAAAAAAAAACAATGGAATATAAATTCGTCCTTACGAATTTTTATATCCCGATGAGAATAGTGAATGGTAACTTTTGGGATTCATTTATAGACTAATACTATACCTATATTTTTATTGTATAATTATTAAGTAACTAAATTATTTATATTCGTGTGCCTCTTATTATGAGCTTTACTTTGACCCATAGACTATTATTACATGATTTACCATTCTTGAGTTATACCCAGTCTATCAATTACGATCTCCTACATTCACAGCTACATATAGTTGAATCTTGTACAAATGTTGTTTCCTATTCTATGGTACGATGTGGTCTGCCTGGTCGGTATATAAACCCAGTATGTTTGAAATAAATGATTCATATTGCAGAGGCTGAGATTGGTATTCTAGACTTAACAGGCAGGGCTAAGTGGGAAGCAGGAACTATAAGGACACTAGATTGCTCGTATGGGTTTTATGCGTCATTGGTCCAGTCGATACTTCACTGTTCTTTAATTGGCAGTATCATTACGTTATGCATTAATAAGGAAACAGGACACAAGATATAACACGAATGTAGATTATCCGGCTTCCAGAATTCATATTTGAACTCAAATTGATTTTCAAGAGTCCACACAGTGCTATTAACTAAAGTTAGATGTTTAGAATAACGATTAAGACTTTAAGATC